TTTTAAGTTAAATCAATCAAAATATTGTACCCCCGATGAATCTATCTGGTTCATTCCTTAAATGCCAATTTGACAAATTAGTTGGTCTAACAAACTCTTAACCTTGCTCTAACAAGCAGAAAATGCAATGATTTTTTCTTTTAATTACAAATGGTATACATGTAACCTGATGGTAAACTGTCTGATTTAGGTCTCAGTTACATCAAGGAGCATCTTCATGGTAACATGAAAAGCCTCCACTGTGCCAAAATGACTCCTCCAGCGCTTCTGATGAAGAGGACTTTTTCTCCAACATGAAGCACGTAAACACCCAGGAAACAACGAAACAACTTGAATCTTACCTGGCATGTACATCTGAAGGTATGGACATTTTATCGTCTTACCCAGCTGTATCCAGCCTGTCACTCAAGTTAAACACTGCCCTACCAGCCTCTGCTGCATGTGAAAGGCTTTTCAGTGTAGCTGGATTGATCTTCAGCCCAAGAAGGGGAAGGATTGATTCACACAACTTTGAAAACCAGCTTCTCCTGAAGTTGAATAAGGACTACTTCAAATTTGAATAGTTTGGCCAGGCTGATATCCAAAGAAATGAACAACTTTCATCTTCTAAAAACTGACTGGCTGGATGTTGTCTTAGTAATTTGATTTATTTATTTTTTATGTTGAGTTTATCTTATGGAAAAGTTTTGATTCAGACATTAAGCTAAATTAATCTGTGCAGAAGTTTCTTTGTTAAGTATGGCAGTACTTAGTCATCAGTGTTATGGTTTCTACTTGTGTTAAGTTATTACTGTCAATATATGCACGTTTATGTACATACACAATGCTGTGTATGAGTACTAAAGCTGAGGAGAGACAATGATAAATGTTGCACCATCTTTTAGGACAGGGGTGTTCAAAGTCCATCCTCAAGGACAGGTATCCTGCATGTTTTAGTTATTTCTCTGATTCTACTCACCTGGACCAAATGGTAGCTCATCAACAGATCTGTACAGAACTTTGACTTGCTGAGGAGGTAGCAAAWACCACCAAGGAAAGAACAAAAACATGCAAGATACCATCCCTTGAGCACTGAATTTGGACACCCTTGTTTTAGAGATTTGCACGACATTCTACAGATGTGAAAAAACTCAGGGTAGATATTATTTGTGGTTTACAGATTTTATTAAGGAGTGAGTTGTTGCCATGTGGCCAAGCCGTTCAATAGAATGAGTTCTCAAAAGCAGAGTTGTAGTTTGTTTGATTCCATAATGAAAGTATGAGGAGAAAAAAGGCTCTCCTGTTTTTTGTTTTAAATAAAAAAAATAATTACAATAGCTGTCCTTAATTTTATTTCTTTTTTATGCTGAAGTCTTTACAAGTGAAGTAGAATTTGTAGCAGAGTGGTTCTACATGTCAATACATCAGGTGGTTTCTGAGAGTAACATGGTTCGGTAAAATCACTCTGAAAACAACACAATGTACTGATATTAGAAAATGTAATTTGTACTTTTACTTTGTACTTAAGTACTTTAAAATGCATGTACTTCTGAATACTTAAGTATTTTCAAAAGTAAGTAC